CAGAACCAAACTCATACCTGAAAGGGACATGCTGTGGGATTGGGGATTGTGTGATGTTTTACAGTGTACCTTGTGGCACGGAAATTTTCTTGGGGTTGGCGAGACCTAGTAACTTAGCGTAACTTAACACATGAGTTTTGAGGTTAGGTGGCAAGTGCTCTAATGGTTTTTAAATGTTTGACCCACGCCCCACCAATTTTTGCAGCTTTTTGACTTCTGAGACTCCCACTAGCAATAGCCCTTACCTTATGTCCGTGTTAACAGAAACCAACAGTGGCCACAGAAGTGGGCCTGTGGACGCCAGCAGTCATCTGCAGACTGGCGGACAGAAGGCCTCATGTGCGCCACCAGCAATTCCCAGTGTGGAAGTGGGGACCAGGGGGAGGCCTGAATCACAGAGCCCAAAGAAGGGGACCTGCAGAGGTCCAGACAGAGTCCAAACGATCGGGGACCTGCAGCTGCCACCAGCGGGCCCCAGTGTAGAATCTGGGGGTTCCAATCAAATGGGGGGATTGCAAACTAAACTGAGGGCTCAGGGTTTGGGTTCTGGGTGGAACCCTCTGCTTGTTCTAGCCGACGAGCCGCGGACTGGAAAGCCAATGAGATCAGGAGCTTGATGCAAAGACAGTGGAGCTCAGAACCAAGGGGAACTTACCTGAGGCCCTCAGAAACAGTGAGAAATTCAAGAGGCTCATGGGTACCATGCCTGTGTTTCTCACTGTCCCCAAAGCCACCAGAAATCTCCTTTGATCCTGTCAGTGCCACCCAGTCTGTTAAAAAACAAAATTAGCTGAGTACAATCGGCTTTCTTTAATGATTCATGAATCGGGCAGCATCTCAGAAGACAGACAGGATCTCTGTGGAGCTGTACAAAATGGCAGGCTTTTATAGGCAGGAGGGGATGGAGGAAAGGAAGCTTCTAGCAAAGAGTGGACTGTTTCAAGCAGGGTCACTTTCCTTTGGGGGAAGGCAGGGGTCCATCAGGCAGAGAATCTCTAGGGCTGACCAGGTAATTCCAGATTGACTGGTTAAAGGTACATTTCCGGGACAAGCTGGAACTGCAGTTAAGTGCTAACTGGTTTGGTTTGCTGATACAGGGCTTAGTAGGAGTGACTCCATTTGGGGCCTACTGTTCCTTTAACTAAACAACAAAAGTAATACAGGCTCATTGTACGCTGGTACGTGACAGAAGTATATCAAGTAGAAATCCCCTCCTCCCTCCAGTCTCAGCCCCTTGCTAACTGGTACCTCTCCTTCTGAATCACGCCATCCGGAAGAGGAGCCACCAGCCCTATGTGGCTACCAAGCGCTTGAAATGTGGCTAATTCCAATTAAAATGTGCTATAAATCTAAAATATACACTGGATTTAGTATTTAGACTTAGTACAAAACAAGAATATAAAACATATCTCCACAATTTTTGTATTGATTATACATTGAAAGGATATTTTGGATATACTGGGTTAAAATACTATTAAAATTCATTTCAGCTGTTTCTTTTCATACCTTTTATGTGACTACTAGAAAATTTCAATTTATACATGTGGCTCACATGGTACTTCTACTGGACGATGCTATTCTAGATTTTTTCCTACATGTTTATGAAAGACCACAGATATGCACGTCTGTAAATGCCTGAGTACGCAGGTGTAGATCAGCCTCTATATATACTCCTTTTATTTCCTTTCCCACCTAATACATCAGGACCTCTTTTCCAGAGAGTACTTCTACACCCACATCATCCTTTTTAGGGGTCGTGTTGTTTTCCGTGGTACAGATGAGCGTAACTTGTTCATCCAATTCCCCACTGATCAACACTGGGGTTGCCGACATCCATTTGCTTTTTCAGACACAGCTACAAGACCGTCCGTGGTCTGCCCGCTGTGAGTCTCCCATTTCTAGAGGTAGGAAAGCTAGGTCTGGTGAGGGCACTTCAAATGTGAGAGCAAAGGAGCCAGGTTCTGAAGGCTCCTCGGACGGGGCTAAGAGCCGTAGACTTGATTTTGCAGGCAGTAGGAAGCCTTAACACAGCTTTGTTGGGGTGGTTTTTCTAAAATGCTAACTCTGTATTCTTCCTTCATTAAAAAGGCAATATAAGCACATCACAAACAACTGGAAGGGAAAAATAAAGGGGGGGAACCCTACTATAACCTTACTGCATAGCCACTTTTACCTTTTCCTTTTTTAGCCTTATTTTCTGGCACATGTTTTAATTACTGCTAAATTATAATCATACTGCCCATCAATTTGAGAATTTCTTTTTTCATTGAAGCTTCCCACGTAAGCATTTTTCCATGTGACCACAGAGTCGTCAGTAAAGGGTGATTTAGTCAGTCCGTGGGCTGGCTGCTGGGGCCTTTTCAGCAGCCCACGCAAGGCCTTCTCCGTGGTGCCTCCAGTCGGGATGCAACCGAGCCCACGTGCCTCTCATGAAAGAAACACACGCCCCGCCACCAATCCCAGGCCCCCCGCCCCCTCCGGTTCCTGTCCTCCCCCCTCTTTCCAGCTGCGCTTCTGGGGAGTCACCCAGGCCCCTGCCTCCACCACCGCACCTCTGCTTACTCCTCTCCCCACCCTCCCACTGGACACTCAGGCATTGCCTCCTTCCCAGCCCCCTGGCCCTGGAACCATGAAAGTCCTGCCAAGCCCACTGCCTTGACAGCCCTTCACCAGCTACTCCCCCCAACCCCACCGCCAACGCCTGGCTCACCCTGCCACTAGCTGAGGGCTGGCAGTGGCTTGGAGCCCACCTTCCTGCCTCCAGCCGTGTTCCCCACCCCCAGTGTCCAAGCTCAACAGTTCAGCTGCAATACTTTTTTTTTTCCAAATAAAAATCTGACTGCATCACTCCCTGGGGGAAGTATCTTTCAGGGCTCCCTAGAGTCCTCAAGGTGAAGCTCAAACCCGTTTGCCTGGAATGCAGGTGGGGTGTGATCTGGCCTTGGCTCACCTCCAGCCTCACCTCTCCCCACTCCCTCCCCAACCCCCTGCTGCCACACTCCATCCTGCAGAATGGCCCGCAAGGCCTTGCACAGCCCAAGCTTCCTCTCACCTCTCACTTTTGTACATTGTTGTTTTCTTCTCATAAGCTTCCCCCCCTGCTCAGCTGCCTTCCTTGCCTGGGTAACTTCTCATTATTAGAGGCCACCTCTCCCAGGAAGCCTCCCTGACTTCCTCCCCATTTGTCAAGGCTCATAGCATCTTGTATTTATGCTAATTGCAGCCTTTACTGTGCTGTGTTCCATTCATCTCTTTGCAGTCTGTCATCTGACCCATTCCCTCTCTTCCTGGCCACCCACATCCTCCTGACTCCATTCCCTGAAGATGAGGTCTGTGCCTCGCTCACCTCAGAATCCTTGACCCAGCAAGTGCTTGATTCTGAGCGTGTGCCCAGTAAATATAGGGTGAGTGCATGAATAAGCAGAAACTCGTGAACATCTTGACACATCAACTTTTTCCATACTGAACAGGCTCCCAGAAGTTGGGGTGATTGGATTAAAGGGGATGAACAGTGAAGGCTTCAATTCCCATAGCTAAGCAGCTTTCCACAAAAGACCTGGCACCCTTTGCCCCCACCAGCAGTGTGAGAGTGTCTGCCCCGCTGTATCCTTGCAGCACCGCTGTTTTTATTTCCTTTTAAAAAGCTCATTTTACAGATAAAACATGCCAGCCTGTTCTAATTTGTATGTCTTTGGGTTACTAGTGAGGGTGAACATTTCCGCATGTATTTGCCTCCTCGATGCATTACTTCTTGGATGACTGGTCATGTGATGTGGACCCTGTTAAGGCGGGCGGGCATTTTACAGGATGGCTTTGGGGACCATGTAGGAAGTGGCTGGGAGCAGGGAAGTTGGTGCCACAGTGATCCCGGTGAGAGGTGTGCAGGCGGGGTCGCTGCGGAGGCTGGGGGCACAGCAGGAGCTGAGCGGGGTGGGGGGGTGGAATTAAGGAGGCCAAATCAGGGCGCCTGGGTGGCTCAGTTGGTTAAGTGACCACCTTCGGCTCAGGTCATGATCCTGGAGTCCCAGGATCGAGTCCCACATCGGGCTCCCCGCTCAGCAGGGAGTCTGCTTCTCCCTCTGCCCCTCTTCCCTCTCGTGCTCTCATTCTCTCTCTCAAATAAATAAATAAAATCTTTAAAAAAAAAAAAAAAAGGAGGCCAAATCAACCCAACCTGGGGACTGACAGCAGACGGGGGTGAGGGAGAGGGAGGGGTTGGGGAGCAGCCAGGTTTCTGGCTTGGCCAACTGAACAGAAGGAGGTACCATGTGCTGAGATGGTGCGCAGGTGGATACACGGGCACACACACCACCACAAGATGCGTCTCCGAGCTATCTACTAGATAAATCTACAGAGGAACAGCGAAGTGGGGTAGCAGAAAAGGCCAGGAGGCAGGAGTGTGTGACCTGGCAGGCTTCTGGAGAGAGACTGGGGGAGCTAGACTTGGGAAGGATTTATAGGGCAGAGAGTGGAGTTGGGAGGTTGTCCAGGAGGCCATGGGGGTCTGCTCGGGAATAATAATAATAACAGCAACAGCCAGAGTATACCGAGTGAGTACTATGTGTGAGGCCTTGCTCTCATCGCTTAGCTTTAAGTGATCAGTGGCATATTGGAAAGCTGGGGAAAAGGGTTAGAAAGCACATCGGGTACTGAGAGGGACCAGCGCCAAAGACAATCAGTGCAGGCAGTGGACAGTGCAAGGTGCAGAACAGCGTATCTACTGTGCTCCCATACTTACATTTGCCTGTACATGCACGACCACTTCCAGAAGGAGGCGCAAGGAAAGAGTCATACTGGCTTGCCTCCATGCAGAGCAGCTGAGTGGCTGGGACCAGGAAAGACTGCACTAGATATACTCGTCCTTTGAATGCCTGTACCATCCAAATAGGATATATTTGTATTCAAAAATAAATAACATGAAACATTAAAATTACATAAACAATTTCTCATGTGTATGTGTGCATATAAATGAGTTGCTAACGCCCTTCCCCACCACCCAGGACCTGGAAGAGACTCTTCTGTTGGCTGATCCTACTTGCGCTTGGCCTCTTAGGGCTGCTCCAGCATGGGCTCTCTATAGTCAGGTACAACCCCCCTCCCCCAGCACTCAGTGTGGGAACCAGCAGGGTCAGGGTCAAAGCGGCTCCTTCCAAGTGCGGGTGGTGGGTGGTGGGTGGTGGCTCTTTGGCTGCACACTTGGCCTTGTGGGCTCTCCCTCCTTGTAAAGAGCAAAGTGAGAGGGGCCCTGAGCTGGCTGTCATGCCTCTCCCTCACTGCTGCCCCCACCCCACAGGCATCTGGAAACCCTCATCCCCATGGGTGTCTGCCCTTCTGCCAGAATGGCCCTGCTGAGAGACAACTTCACGGGTCTCCTGAATCCCTGGTAAGGAGCTAACGCCCACACACCCTCCAGAGCTCTGCCCCAGTGTCCTGCCCTCCTCACATCCCTCACCCCAGCAGGGCCAGGTACTCCTTCCGGCGGCCCCATCAGGTGACACATCTCCCAATCCTCTGTGTTCGATCTAGGCTAGGGATCTCTAGGGGCGGGGCCAGGGCACACCCATTAGTGGGTCCCTAGGGTCCAGCACCGGGCAGGTGGCAGTGAACGTGCACCAAATGGGTGGATGAATGGACCTATCTCTCCATCCCTGCCCTGGCCAGGGCCCGGCCTGATGTCCTGACCTGTACCTCCTGGGGGGCCCCCATTATTTGGGACAGCACCTTCAACCCAGCTGTGGCCCAGCAAAAGGCTCTGCAGCAGAACTTCACCATTGGGCTGACAGTCTTTGCTGTAGGCAGGTAAGGCCTGGGGAGGGGAGCGGTGCTGTCCAGGCAGGGAATGAAACAGGTGTGCATGTGATGTAGGGGTGGGGCACCCTGTGGGCCACAAGATCCTAAAGTGAAGAGGGAGTCAAAGACAGCACCTTATTGTCCCAGGCTCCCAGGAAGAGGACAGCACCGTCCATTTCCTTTCCCTCCTCCCCGGACACCAGCACTATGGAGCCCACCCAGCACAAGGACCATCCTGGTTATCTATGTAAGGAACTGTCACAAACTCAGTCACTGAAAACAGCTGTTGTTACAGCTCATGATTCTGTGGGCAGAAATTCCCACCGGGCTCCGTAGGAAGGGCTCCTCACTGCTCCCCAGGGTCTGAGCCTCCACTGGGATGGCCGACTGCTGAACACCGGTGGGGCACGGTCTCCACGCAGCCTTCTGCTCAGCTAGCTGGGCTTCCTCACGTCCCTGCGGCATCAAGGGTCTGGGACTTCGTAAGCGAAGGCTCGGAGCCCTAACGAGGCAAAGGCTAACGCTGCCAGTCGCCCAAAGGAGCAGCCCAGCCTCTCTGCCGCGGCACCCTGTTGATCCAGGCAGGTAGTGGGAGCCCACGTTCAAGGGAAGGAACCCAGAGCCCCTCTGGGCAGCAGAGACGAGCAATCTGCAGTCACCTCTGTCCACCGTGAAGGCTACGACTGGAGGGTTGCGGAGGGGACTGGAGGGGGACCGGCGCCGGGAGCCCCAGCGGGGCGGGGGCGGGGGGGCCGGGGCTGGGGGCCCGGGTGGGAGCCGCGCTCAGACTGACCCGCCCCGCCGGCCCGGCAGATACCTGGAGAAGTACCTGGCGCGCTTCCTGGAGACGGCCGAGCAGCACTTCATGGTGGGCCAGCGCGTGGTGTACTACGTGTTCACCGAGCGCCCGGCCGCCGTGCCCCGCGTGGCGCTGGCCCCGGGCCGCCGGCTGCGCGTGGAACGCGTGGCCCGCGAGCCGCGCTGGCAGGACGTATCCATGCAGCGCATGCGCACGCTGCACGAGGCGCTGGGCGGGCAGCTGGGCCGCGAGGCGCACTTCGTGCTCTGCATGGACGTGGACCAGCACTTCCGCGGCGCCTTCGGGCCCGAGGTGCTGGCCGAGTCGGTGGCGCAGCTGCACGCCTGGCACTACCACTGGCCGCGGTGGCTGCTGCCGTACGAGCGCGACGTGCGCTCCACCGCCGCGCTGGCGCTGGGCGAGGGCGACTTCTACTACCACGCGGCCGTGTTCGGGGGCAGCGTGGCGGCGCTGCGCGGGCTGACAGCACACTGCGCGCGGAATCTGCGGCGGGACCGCGAGCGCGGCCTGGAGGCGCGCTGGCACGACGAGAGCCACCTCAACAAGTTCTTCTGGCTGCACAAGCCGGCCAAGGTCCTGTCGCCAGAGTTCTGCTGGAGCCCCGAGATCGGCCGGCGGGCCGAGATCCGCCAGCCGCGCCTGCTTTGGGCGCCCAAAGAGTACGCCCTGCTGCGCGACTAGGCCCCCCACCGGCCCAGGAAGAGGGGGGGCCCTGAAGCCGTGCGGGCGCCCCGGAGGGCGGCGAGAGTTTGGACGCAAACAGCCCTGCCCGCTCCGGCCAGGTGCCCGGCCTTGGGATCGTGGAGGTGGGAGGAGGAGCGTGGCCTTTGGGGAGCTTCTCGCTGGGAGGGAAAGTTCCCCTTTCCCCCACTTTCAACAGCGACCGACAACGACGCACGCTGGGCAGTAGCGCCTTGGTCAGGCTGCCTCTAGACTTTTCGCCTCTGACCTTACTGGATTCAGCTGATGCCTCCTGGAGAGCTGTTTTAGCCCCCGTCACCCACCGCCACCCCAACCCCCTTTTTGATAAGGAGACTGAGACGCAAAAAGGGAACATAATTGCCTAAGGACACAGCATCTTGTGAGTCAGTCTGGGCAGCCGCTGCAGAGCCAGGACTGGCCCTCCGAAAAGACAGTAGCTTCTGGGCGAACAGGAGAAAGCTTCTGCTGCAGGGGAAACGTGGTGGCATCTGAGTCCTTGGCTTTGCCCTTCCACCTCCCCCCACCCTCAAGCATAGTTTGTACATATTTAAGTAATGCTGTAATAAAATTATTCCAAAAGTGTCTTTATGGCCCTCTCTCCTGGGCAGTGTCCACAAAAGGACATTTCCTTGATGTGGGGCCCATAGGGCTGTCTGGGAGATAAGTTTCCTTACCCAAGACTGCTATCCAGAGTCTTCATCCTGGGGGAGGGGAGGGGAACACAGGCTCTGAACAGGAGGTGAACTCATCAGGCCCTCCAAGGAGCCAGGGAAGGCAGCAGTTGGAAGCCCCTGAAGCTGTCCTCTGACGCCTGGGAACGCTGAGGCCCTGGGAGGATGGGATTTCACCCCAGGTCCCCTGAATCCTTTATGTGATGTTCTCAAAGACCTTGCCTTAATAGCCTCCACTGTTCCTCCGAAGGACAGCAACTCTGGCATAAATCAACCCTGATGATTTTTACAATCTGATCATCTTTACAAGCAGATTCCACTTACTGATGATGTGACCTAAGAGATCTCTGCCCTCTCAAAAACAGTTTGAAGTTCCCCAGTGCCTCCCACCCGAACTAGATTAGCAAAACCCAGAAGGCCATTTGGATTGTGGATGAGACATAAGAACAAGCTAGGCGTGCCTGAGAACAGGTTATCGCCTGATGACTTTGAGCTGGCACATCCCTTCCTCTGGTGGGCATGTGTCCTCCACCTGACCCCGCAGTATTCACCGAGGGCCACCCACACCGACCCTCACCACCCCCAGGGGCCGTGAGACACCTGAGCACAAGCTAGTGAGATCTGGGTGGGAATCTGCTCCTCTTCGCACTCTGCTTGTGACTGTGGACAAGTCCCTTACCTTTGCTGAGTCTCTATGTCAAGTGGGGATGCCGATCACCCTCCTTGCGGAGGTTGTGGTGCTCCAGAAAATGTAACTTGCCTTCTCCCTCTCCTTGCTTGCCCCTTCTCCAGCAAGTTCATAGTGCAAAGGCTCTGCCAAAAGAACACCCCTTTCCTGTCCTACAGAGGAAATGATGGCACAGGCAGGGGTTTCCAGATGCTAGGCCGGGGCAGCCGCACGCTGCGGGTGGAGACCTTCCTGAGTATGGGGAAGGGTCAAGGAAGCTGCAGTGTGGAACACATGATCTCTTTGGAGTGTCTCCCTCCTTCGTCTTACCCAGAGGCCCTCGCTGGGGCTGGGGGCATTAGAGGGACTTGGGGCAGAAGCAGAAGGCGGGGCAAAGCTCTTTCTGCAGCCACTTCCATCCGGATCACTGTCAATCAACACTGTCCTCAGCACCTGCTGGGGGCCTCAGAGGCAGTGGGAGCACCTGAGAGCTTCCAGGCGAGCAGATGAAAAGCAGACTCCCAGTCCCCTGAGTGTCACTCCTACATGTCAAATCTTCACCTACCCCCGCCGCCCCACCCTGCCAGGCCAGCTCAGGCGCCACCCCCAGAAATTGCCAAATATCGTCAGCTCTCTAGTCGGAGCTCACTGATCATAAGGGACTTAGATCGACCAGGGCCACATCAAACAGGAACAGTCACAATTACATTTACTGGTACTTAACTATGTACCGGGCACCATTCTAAGCATTAGACATATATTGATTCACTTATTCCTCACATCCACCCTACAAATTGGTTACTATTATTTCCCTCATTTTATTTATTTTTTTAATATTTTATTTTTATTTAAGAGAGAGAATGAAATAGAGCATGGGGGGGGGGGTCAGAGGGAGAAACAGATTCCCTGCCGAGCAGGGAGCCCGATGCGGGACTCGATCCCGGGACTCCAGGATCATGACCTGAGCCGAAGGCAGTCGCCCAACCAACTGAGCCACCCAGGCACCTCCCTCATTTTACCTAGAAAACCAGGCATGGAGAGGTTACGTACGTAACTTGCCCCGTGTCACACCGCTAGCAACTTAAACTCAACTGATGTGCGAACGAGGAGGAAATTACACCTGGCCAGGAGGTGGGAGACGGGAAGTCAGGAACTGAGTCTGACACAGGCTCTCGGTCTTCTCTGTCCATCTCTGCTTCTGTCTGCCTCTGTCCTGCTTGTGTCTGGCCCAACACACATCCCAACCCCTGGACCACACGGTCTTCCAGTTCAGGAGTCCACCATCTCCTAACTTATTCCTAATCCATGGACTGGCGAAGCTGATCGGAAGGTCAGCCCGCGGTGTGCTGGTAAGCGTTTAGCAACTGGCTCTTCCAAGAAAAAGAAAGCCCCCATTTGTAGCCTTTGCCAGTTTCTGTTGCATGAACCCCACCATGGCTGATTTCAAACCACATCCACTAAATATGGAGTTGGGAAGAGGTGTGCCCAGTCCACTCTCATGAACCAGCCGTGGTCTAAGGCTCCAGGGGCAGAGTCAGACGTCTACCACTGGCCGATTAGCTGTGGCCCGGATCGGGTCATGTGGGATCCGGGTGGCTGCCGGCGCCCACCCCTTCACAGCAGAGCAGGCTATGGGAGGTCAAGTTCACAGAGAGCAAGGAGGCCTATGAAGTTACCAAAAACATGTTCCTGGGCTACTCCACACCCATTCCCCCACCCCCCCGCAATGTTAACACGTCTGGTTTCCTTTTGGGGAGATGAACTACAGATTGGGCTTTCACCCTCTGCTCCAAGCTTAGAGCATGGGTTCTAGGTCTCAGCCGATCAAGTAAGACATTCCGGTCACGGTGATTGGTTCGGGCATGGTACCTAACCAGTCCCAATCACAGCTCCTTTCTGGAAGACTTTTCCTGGAGCTTCTGCAAGACAAAGGCTGGACTGCTGGAAATCTGGGGCCCGCGAGGCTGGAGCTGCTGACCCCACAGGGGCCCACGGATGAAACCGACTCTGAGAACAAAGCCAAGTGGAGAGCTGGAGACACCACTAGGCCCTGAGGCTGGCCTGACACCTGCACGGTCCTGGTATGTAAGCCAATAAATCCTTGTTTGGATTGGGCTTTCTATCACTTGCAGCCAAGTGTTGACACCCCCCAAGGCCTGTGAGGACTCGGAGTGAATTCCTGAAGGTGAGCTCCACGGTGACTCTTGGTAGAGTTACATCTGTCTCTCTAAGTCATGCCCAGCAGAGGACCAGCCTTGGTAAACTTTGGGGTAGTTAACTCCTGCATTTCCCTCTCAGGCAATCAAAACACTGACCCACCTGGGGAAAATGGATGTGAAGGGGGCTTCTTGGTTCCCTCAATCACTGGAATTGCTTCCACAAGTCCGGGCACTCATAATGGACCCCCAAAGGTGGGCAGGGTAATGGGGATGTGGCTGCCCCTCTGGGAGCGGGGGCTGTAAACCTCACCGGTGGACCCCATACATCCCAAAAGGCCTCACTCAGAATGAGACAAACCTGGCTGAAATCTGTGTTCCTGCCACTTAATTGCAACATGATGCTCAGCAAAAAACAAAACAAAACAAAAAAACTCTCTTGGTTTGCTGCCGCCCTCACGGGGAGCTGCAGGGTAACCAACAACCTAGCACTCGGCTCAGCTGGGGTGAGGCCAGCCCACAGGGAGGGGCCATGTCCCTTCTTCCCCAAGTCTGGGGGGGCGGGGGAGGGGAGAGGAGCAATGGAAAGGTGCCCCCCAGCCCCGCCCTCACACAGAGCACGCCACACACCACCGCCACCCAGGTGCGGGTACAGTTTATTCTTCACAACAGAGAAATACAAAGAGCAGAGGGTTTGGACTTCCTTTGTTTCTTGCTCCGTTTAGTGTCTACCCCACATTCGATTTTTATTTTGCTCCCCACCCCTTTACTTAAATATAATGCAAACTTGTTTCCTGAAGCATTGAGGGGCACGTGCCCTCACCTCCCTGCCACCAAGATGCAGACTGAGAAGCCAACAGACTGTTTTCTCTTTTTTAATAAGGTAACTAGTTCTAAATATGGTGGCCTGGAGGTCCCATAGAAAAAAGCAAATGGGGTGTTAACAGTATGTATAACAGCGTATTTACAGGGTAGTAACATGCGGACAAAAAGCTACAATACTGAGTTATCAGACGACGCAAGTCAAACAAAGGGGTGGGGGTGGGGGCAGAGAACCCCGTGGGGGGGAAAAAAAACCCAGGAAACGTTAAACTGGTAAATCAATGGCGAGTTAAGGCTTAAAAAGTGTATAAAAATAACACAGTTAATATTCAAAACGGAACTCCAGATACAGAATATATAGATGAGTTTCTGTCTAGTTTCCTTTTTTTTTTTTTTTTTTCTCCCCGGGGGGATGAAGGGGGGCTTCTCCGGGCTCTGTACATAGTTCCTATATACACGGACACGCATGGCTTTCAGATTGGGGTGTGTCTGTGGGGGCTGAGGGCAGGGTATGCTCCTGGGACCCTCCTCCCCGAGGATCCCTTCCCTGCTGAGGGGCCTAGGGCCTGGACTGGGAGTTCCCCCTCCATGACAGGGAAGACAAATAACCCCTCCCTGGGCACTGCCCCATCTGGAGGAAATTCTGGAGGGGGGTGGTCCTAAGCCCAGGCCCACTCCCTCCCCACGCCCCTGCCCACAGTCTGGGATGGTGGGAGAGGTAGCCAATAGGTTTCCTGGCCAGCACCGAGGTAGACTGGGGTGGTCTTCAGGGCAGTGGGGGGCCAGGTCTTACCCAGCCCACCCTCACCCCATTTCCCTGGGCCTGCGCCCAGCCCAGCCCAACGCTGCACCCTTTGGTCCTGCGTATCTCCCGGCCCCTCTCTCATTTTGCCTCCTGAAGCCTGGGCAGCCTTGGGAGCTGCCGCATCCCTCTGCTCAGTAATGCCCAGGGCGTAGCTCGAGAGGTGTGAGCTGGGCACCTAGGGGTGAGTGGCTCACTCCAGCTGCCTCTCCTGTCCCCTCCCACCTCGGGGCCCCCTTTGCAGTCCAGAGACTCAGGCCTGAGTCTTCCCTCAAGACCTGAGGCTGTGGCAAGAGAAGGTCCCACGCTGCCCTCTGGTTCTCTGTGTCCATCTGTCCGATTCTTTTAATTTCTCGGTCTTAGCAGCACCAACTTCTTGGCCAATAAATATCTTTTTTGTTATTTCCAAAACAAACTTTAAAAAAAAAAAAAAAAAACAGTGAAGCAAGTGGAGGGTGGGGAACAAAAAGAAACCCAACAGAGAGGTTCAAAGTGCTCTGAGATCGTCTTTGGATGCCACCAAAACAGTCCAGAATCTTGCAGTTGGCCTGGCCGCCCCCAGAGCTGGACCAGGCAGGGCTTCTGCAGCCCAGGCTTTCTGGAAGGTCAGGAAGGTCATGAGAGAGCTCGGCTGTTCCTGGAGGGCCCCTGGAGGAAGTCGGGGCCTGGTGCTGCCTGGGTCTGTGTCTGCCAGTGGGCAGGGTGGGGCGGCGCCTTGGGTCGGCTCAGATGAGGGAAATTCGCACCGGGATGCCGGGGGACTCCGTCCTCTGGGGCGAGTGGTGGCTCACCAGGTGCTCCACCACCGTGTGTTTGGACATGTGCTTCATCAGGTAGGTCTCCTGTGGGCAGGGGTGAGATTCAGGACACGTAACCAACCAACCATTGGCAAGAGATGCAGGGGAGGCTGCAGTTCCCACAAGTGTCCACTGGAGGGCTCCTTGGTGGGCCAGCTCATGGTGAGCAGGCCTGGCTCTAGGGCGTCAGACGGGCATAGGGTGTTAGTTCTAGTGAGGCAGCATCGCCACCAGGGGTGGATGCTGGTTCATTTCCCACACTCTGAGCCCACAGCATGCCAGGTGAAGAACTGGCTGGCACCAGGCTCGTCCCTCAGCAGTGCCCACCTGGACTTCTCTAGGGCCAGGCCAACAGGTTGTAATCAGGTATGCTGGCTGAACCTCCACCTGCCTTGGGGATCGAGCATGGCTGCCCCCTTCTGGATGGTGCTCCAGCGAAGGAAAAGCAGGAGGCCTTGGTCTGAGCTGGGTTCTGCCATCTCCTAGCAGTGGGACCTCAGACGTGTCATCTCCTATGTCCAAGGCTGTTTCCTCCTCTTGAAGGCACAAACTCAAAACGGTTGCTATGGTGGACAGAGCTCCCGGCATGCAGTACAGGTTGAGGGGACTGCTCTTTCCCTGGTCTCTACACTGCATTCCAGGTGCTGGTGGGAGCCCCAGCCACTGCAGCCACCGCGCCCCCCCCAACTTGATCCTCCCTGGGAAGAAGGTGGACCCGACAGGACTGGTGACTTGCAGAAGCATAACCTGGGCATGCTCGGCTCGTCCCTTGAGTGCCCCCACAGGTTCTGCCAAGTCTGACCTGAGGCACCCACAGCTGGGTGGGTGAGGTGACCCAAAGGCTCACCTGCAGGCCCAGAGGCCCCCACACTCAAGGGAGGAGGTGGAGCACCTGGTGAGCCACCACTTGCCCCCCAGGACATAGTCCCCCAGTCTCAAATGTCACTCTGCTCAGAATCTGGTAGAGGAAGACCTCAAATGTGGCGGCAACATGCTTATCAAACAACACCAGAGGGAAGCCATCAGCAACGTCCAAACTAGGAAACTATTCTTCAGTGACTACTTTGCAAAGGAAAAAAAGGCCCGGGAGGGACGACAGGGTGGGGTTCAACAGATTAAGAGATATATTGATTGGGTGTAACGTGGGGATCTTATCTGGATCTCCATTACAAAATCAAATTGTAAGTAAATAAAATTCTGGCCTTCCGGAGACAAAAATGTGAACGCTGACTGGGTATTTGATGATATCAAGGACTTATGGTAACTGTAAAGATATTGTGGGTATGTTCAAAAAGAGGGGTCCTTGTGTTTAGAGACACAGGGAACATTTTCAGATGAAACAATATGATGTCTATTTTACTTCAAAAAATAGGGATATGGATGAGGCAAGGTTGGTTGATGGTTCTGGGGGCTAATGGGAACATGAAGGTTCACTATGCTAAAATTTGTTAAAGTAGTTTAAAATTCGATCCATTGAACTGTTTTTTTTTTTCTTTCTTTTTTTTTTTTTTTGAAATAAAAGGTATGTTGGGGGGCCTGGCTGGCTCAGTCAGTGGAGCCTGTGACTCTTGATCTCAGGGTCATAAGTTGAAGCCCCAAACTGGGCACAGAGCCCACTTTAAAAAAAAGATATGTCAACTTACTTTAATTAAAAATAAAGGTAACTATTCTTGTTCTAGAGAGTCCGGTTGAGGCCGCATTCAGGATGGGGCTGCAGGGACACTCCCTGCCCCCAGAGTTCAGACAGACTCCATCCAGAACTATAGCCAGTAAATGCCAGCGGCCCCTCCCCTAGGAGCAGGCGTGAGGAGGCAGATGTTGAGAACTTGAGGCCAACACCAGCTGAAGGTCAGCCAGCTGAACGGGGTTCCTAGGTCTCTGTGGTGCCCCACCTCGCCCCCTGGGACCCATTCCCTGCAGGTTCTGCCCTCTGTCTTTCACTTCTCCTCTGCCCTTCGAACTCCAGGGAAGGAGCAGTGTGACGAACCCAGCACCCAGCAAACTGTAGGCCTGGCTGGCACCTGACATACCGCTGACCACCCCACGTGTGCCCCCTCCAGTCAGTGACCTTTCAAAATACCCTCGCAGACAGTCCCTTTCCCCCAATGGCTTCCTGCTCCACCTGGCACGTATCCAAACTCCCTAACAGGGCCCCACAGCCCCGTGTGACCTAATTTTCCTTCAGTTCCTGGACCGCGCCATGTTTGTTCCACCTCAGGGTGTTTGCATTCACCGTTCCCCTGCTTGGAAGGTCCTCACTCTCCTTACCCTTCAAGGCTCCATTGAAATGTTGTTACCCCCTCAGTCAGCCTACCCAGGCCTGTGTCCCCTTCCCAAATTCATTCCAGCCTCCCAGCTGCTTTATCAACCTACGGTCCTTCAGCCCAGTGGTTCTCTGTCAGAGGCGGCTCCACCCTGGCCCCAGGACACTTGGCAACACCTGGCAACATCTTGGGTTGCCAGAGCTCGGGGAGGGGGCTGCTAGTGAGAGAGGCCAAGGACGTTGCTAACATCCTATCAGGCACCGGGACAGCCCCCCAGCGAAGGTACCCTGCCCACATGTTACCATGCCCTAAGGCTGACAAACCTCCTTAGAGCAATTACCACAATTTGTCATTCCATGTTTATTTGGTGGTTACTTGTTTAATATCTGTCTCCAGCAGTAGACTCCAACCTCCCTGGGGGCAAAGAATGTGTCTTTTGGATTCATCCTGATGCCCAAGCGCCTGGCACAAATGTTCAGTAAACACTGAGCGAATAAACAATGGTGTTGGCCGACATTTATTAGGCACTGACTGGGCTGGCCAACAGCCCTGTGAGGTAAGAACAGTTACCTCATCCGTTTTACAGATAGGGAAATTGAGGCTCAGTGATGTTTCTGGGGGGAGGGGTTACCTGGGCTCTGTTAACCAGGATATTTCATTAACTGAACACACACACCTAAGTGACTTACCAGGCTCCCTCTTGTGGGTGCTGAAAGGCCTCTGCTGCGGGAAATTCCCACCCAGAAGAGGGGGCTGGATGAGATGACCTACTGTTCAGGCCTTTCCTGAGGTGAGGCGGCTCTGGGCCGAGTCGCTGTGCCCCCTTGTGGCCAGGATGGGGGTTGCAGCTTCCCCAGTGGAAAGCCCCTCCCCCTCCCTGGCTCTGGAGAGCAGAGTGCCTGGCCCCTCACCTCTGCCTTGAGTGTTCCAGGGCCTAGGGGGAAACCACGCCTGGGAAAGCCAGGCTAAAGGCCACCAGGAGGCTGGGAGCTCGGCCCAGGGCAGCCAAAAACAGAACTGGGAAGCCAAAGCCCTGGCCCAGATCACTCATCATGATCTTGCAGAGTCACTTCCCCTCTCTGGGCCTCAGTTTCCTTGTCTAGAGAATGGGGAGAATCAATACAGATCTGATGAGGAGAAGGCTGAGGCCCAGGGAGAGGAAGAGGCTCCCCAGGGACCCCAGGGGCCCCAGGCACTCACCGAGGTGTAGGCCCGCCCGCACATGCTGCAGCAGTAGGCCTTGGCGTGCTTGATGGCGTGGGCCGAGAGGTGGATCTGCAGGGAGGCGGAGTCCGAGTAGGCCCGGTAGCAGTTGGGACACTTGTAGGGCTTGTCCTTGTTGTGCTGGCGCTGGTGAGACTGTGGGGAGCACAGCAGGGGGTGAGGAGCCAGGCGGGGCTCCCCCAGCCCCACCCCCACCCCCTTCTTCTGCTCCTTCTGCAGGGGGCCAGGCAAGAGGCAGGTGGACACTCACCTGGAGGTTGGAGAGCTGAGTGAAAGCCTTTTCGCAGCCAGGATGTGGGCACTTGTAGGGTCTGTCGCCTGTGTGAATTCTGCAATGGGCAGCCCAGTGAGGTGGAGTCCCTGACAGACAACCCGGCCAGCTCCAGCCCCCAAGGCCTTGGATGGCCTGCACCATATATTCAGCTCCCAAGCCTCCCAGTCTCCACTCCCCACACTCTCCAGAGACTACCTGGCAAGAGCTTCTTCTTCCTCTGGTCTCCCAGTCTGCCAGTCTGTGACCAGAGCCCTCCTGCTCCCCATAGGTCCCTGCTGAACCCAACCCACCACCAGCATCCACTCAGAGACCCGGCCCAACCCTCCAGCTAAACAGCAGGGGCTTTCTCAGACTGCTTTCTGTCCTTCTCTTCTTCAAAACCCACCCGCAGACCACTGTTGAAAAGAACACAGATCCACTGCTTTGCTAGGAACTTCCCTGTCCACCTTGCCCCTTTCCCTCAGAAGGAAGCCTCTCTCTCTAATTGGCCCCCAGTTTCTGTCTCCTGCCCTGTCCCCACATCAGAGACATGTCTAGGATGGTAACCTGGTCACCCCAGCTACTGAGAGAATGCAGAACAGGGAGACCCTGCAGTTCAGACCCTCTGCCCCCTCCCATTCCTGGGTTCTCATCCTGGCTCCACCATCTACTAGCTCAGTGACCTTGGGGGAAAAAAACCACCAAACCTCAGTTTGCTCATCTGCAAAATGGGCATAAAAATATGCTCAGAGGCTTTGCCAAGCGTTGGCACAAAGTCAGCGCTCAGGAAACACCTGCAATGTTTATTACATGGGGCACCCGTGTGCCAGGCACCACGCTCGGTACTTGGAGTGAACAAAACAGACAAAAACCACTGCCTCGTGGGAACAAACAACAAACATGAGCAAAGTAAGTAAATCCCAGGTAGAATGTAATAAGTGCTGTGAGAAGAAAATAAATAAGGTGGGGGGAGCATGAAAGCCCCGTGTGTGTGGCAATTTTAAACAGGGTGGTCAGGGCCAGCCTCCCCGGGAGGGTGACTCCAGAGTGATGCTGCTGGCTGTATTTTCTGTTCAAGTCTGTGGTGCTGCTCATGCTTGTCTGACAGGCCAGGTGAGGACAGAGCTGGGCCCAGACGAGGTGCCCGGCACACACGTGGGAGCCCCGTCCTCCACGAAAGCCTCCCACTATCAGCCTGCATGTGTCTTCCGTCACCTGTCTGGCAAACCCTCTCTGCCGAGCAGGCGGGCAGTGGAATGTTGGCTGGCCTGAACCTTGTTTGCCTCCTTCGCTGCTGAGCATCAGGTGGAGGGAGAACCCGGCCCTGGCCGCTCGGTGTCGGTTCCTTCGCCTAATACCTCGCTGACTGGGCTGCTCTGCCCGTCAACCCGCTCATCAAACAAAGTAAGGTCCCTGTCGCAGCAGGCCTCGTGCCGGATAGGCTGGAATAAAGAACCCTCCCTGCCATCGACAAGACATTGGCTGCCCGCTACAAACATGGATAGGGTCCAGATTCCTTAGTGTGTCACTCAAGGCCCTTCACCATACGCTCTGGCCTCCCATCACCGCTCCTATGCACCTTCCATCCCGGTCGGAGATCCACTTCTCATCGGGCAACCTTGTCTGACTGATGATTCTGCCCACCACGCCTGTGCCCCCACTGCACCCTCAGCAGGGGAGGCTGCCCCTCCTGTCTCCTCTATGAGACAGGGATCCGAGGGCAAGCACAGGGCCCAGGCTCAGGTGCAAGGCCAGCCCCACCCACAGGCTGCACAGAGACTTGCCAAGTGGAGCTGGGCTGGCCTGGTGTTGAGAACCCATATTCTACCTGCACATTTCTGGGTGTTAGCCTCAAAGACGGGTCATGGACATAGGGAGTCACGGACTGAATGAATGAAAGCGAGTTCTTTCTCTCAGGTCAGTCACTGTCAACAGTAATGTGCTCAACATAACCCATGCTGTCTATACCGCACGAACATTTGTTGACTGACTGACCGAGCACCTTCCAAAGGACTTTAGGTTCTTCCTCAGGGACCCAGCCAAGCCCTCTTGAAAGGGAAACTGCCCTCCGGCCTCCCCCGGTCCAAGTGTCATGGCTGCTTGGCCTCTTCCCTGGCTTCCACCCGCCACTGTAGCAGTGCGGGGATCCGACCTTGTCGCGGCCCTGCCTGGCAACCTCCACAGTCTCTCCCTTTTCCAAACCCCGTGCCCCGGCATTCAAGGCCTTGGTTTCTAAAGCCTCCCCCTCCACCACTGCCCTCCCCAGCATGGCATCCTTCCAACTTCCCTGCAATGTGCATGCATCCCCGAGGAAGCCTCCGAGCCTTTGCTCATGCTGCTGCCCCATCTCTAGGGAGGGCTACAGACGACCCCTCAACACCCGACCCCGATGGTCCTCCCCCACCTCCCCCACGTACTTCACTCCTTCGTGGAAGTTTCCACACCCACCAGCCTCCCAGGTCACAGTGGGGTGCCTCTGGGCCAGAGCCTGCCTCTGGCCACTGATCCGCCCTTGTGTGTGCCCCCCAGCACTGGGCTGGCTCCGAAGGGGCACCGGGGAGTGCCAGCTGGGTGAACAGGGGGCCAGGCTGCATGCTCCCGGTGACACCGAGCCCCAGAGCTCTTCGGTCCCTGACCTGCAAGTCAGAGCCAGGCCCTCAATTCCCACATCAGAGTCCTGTCCTTGCAAAGCATCTTCTCAGTAGGGGAGCCCCCAGCCCTGGCTCCCACAAGTGCAGTAAAGGGGAGCTCACCACAGACCCCAGGCGACACAGGGAAGCTGAGCTGCGGCACAGGGAAGTCGAGCTGAAATCGGGGCCCCTGGACGGCCCCAGCCCCACCTGGGGCCCCAGACACTCGCTCTGCCCCCGCCCAGCCGAGCTTCTCCCGCAGCCTCACAGCCACAGCCCCTGCCTCCCAGGGTCCTGGGATTGAGCCCCACATCAGGCTCCTGCTTTTACTTGCTGTGTCTTCCTTTCACAGAAGGAGGTCCCACCAGAATGCTCCAGCTCCCAGGAACCACATTACCCCCAAAATGCTCCCATCTTTCTCAAAAATCAGAGTAATCTTGCTCAACCTGTTTCTAAGTCCATTTCTATTACGTGACCAGGGCTGGATCAGCCTTGGACATGATCTTATATTCCAGTCATTACTGGCAGTCACCCTTGAATGATAGATTTGATTAGATGCCCTGACTGGTTCTCCGTGAAGGAGCAAAAAGCAGGAAGGAGTCTCCGTGGAATGGGAGAAAACAAGGAACCTGGAATCTGGTTGCTTCTTTGTGTTTGGCTTTTTTTGTTTGTTTGTCTAACAGATTCTAGGACTTCTGGGCATGTGGGACATCCACCTCTTTGTCACTGGGTTAGGACACATTGGTTTAATTATAGGTGCCACTGTCTACTGACTAATAATTTGTTTCTCATGTTAACAGGATCCTCTTACGTTGCTTGTCTCGTTTCCCACCATTAACTCAAATCACTCAAGAGGAAAAAAAAAATGTGTGTCCTCAGGAATAGAGAGCAATCCCTGGATCAGGAAATATCCTCCTTCACGGGCCTGTTAATTTTTTGTTGCTGTTTTGGTCATGGTCTTAATATTTTAAAACAAAAGTTTACATCTGAAAAAAACTAGGGATTCTTTTTTCCTAAGATTTTATTTATTCATGAGAGAGAGAGCACAAGAGACAGCACAAGCAGGGGGAGGGGCAGAGGGAGAAGGAGAAGCAGGCTCCCCAGCGAGCAGGGAACCTGACACAGGGCTCGATCCCAGGACCCTGGGATCAGGACCTGAGCCAAAGGCAGATGCTTAACTGACTGAGCCATCCAGGCGCCCCAAAACTATGATTCTTCATACTTATCACTACTTGCTACTGTGTTTATTTTCTCTTAGACCGATGTTCAGACCTTCCGTAGGCTGTCCACTTTGTGCCCTCAGCCTTCTCAAATCCAGGCCCCAAATCAGAATAAAATTATCAAAGTATCTTTTACACCCAAACGCTCTTGGCCTTTCTAGATGGCCACCAGGCAACCCCAAAGATTTCCTTCTTTGCTTTATAACAAGAGTGGTGCTCCAAATGATCGAGCCTTTTGTATTTTCTGTATTTCTAATTAGCAAACACTAGAGCAAGCTGCTCTATGAAGATGCAAGTGTAAGAACGTTGGCAAATCAAAAGAAGAGACACTCAGGAGCGCCTGGGTAGCTCAGTCAGTTAAGCGTCCAACTCTTGACTTTAGCTCAGGTCATGATCTCAAGGTTGTGAGATCGAGCCCCGTGTCAGGCCTCGTGTCAGGCTCCGTGCTGGGTGTGGAGTCTGTTTGGGATTTTCTCTCTTCCTCTCCCTCTGCCCCTCTCCCACCCTCCCTCTCTTAAAAAAAAAAAGAAGAGACGCTCTATCTCCCTGTATTAATTTTATATTTTATGTGTACATATATATACAGAAAATGTCTTATATATTTATATTTATTATATATATGATTATATGTAATTTATACAAATATATAGTATAACAGAATTATAATGCTATATAATATAAGTTAAAAAATATTTCATTTATTTGTCAGAGAGAGAGAGAGAGAGAGAGAGAGAGCGCGCACAAGCAGGGGGGAGGGGCAGACGGAGAGGGAGAAGCAGGCTTCCCGCTGAGCAAGGAGCCTGCTGCGGGACTCGATCCCAGGACCCCTGGATCATGACCTGAGCGGAAGGCAGACGCTTAAAAGACTGAGCCACCCAGGAGTCCCAATTTGTGCACTTTTTTTAAATGGAGACAAAAAACCAGTAATTTATTTTCAGGTCCAATAGAAATCAAAAGAAATGTCCTTAAAAAAGTTTTTTCTACATTTAACTATACTTATCAATTAGTGACAGTCCTAACACGTGCTTTAGGAGATACAGAGCCTGAAGATGGGTCAATGCCCTTGCTGCCTAAAATATATATATATATTTTTTAAAGATTTATTTATTTATTTGAGAGAGCGAGAATGAGAGAGAGAGAGTACAAGAGACGGGGGAGGGTCAGAGGGAGAAGCAGGCTCCCCGCTGAGCAGGGAGCCCGATGCGGGACTCGATCCCGGGACTCCGGGACCATGACCTGAGCCGAAGGCAGTCACTTAACCAACTGAGCCACCCAGGCGCCCTGCCTAAAATATATTCTTAATCTGTAAAATTGATCATGCATTCTATCTTAATAGAAGACTCCATTCTCCTCCATTCTGACATGGTTGATTGTTACAATAAATGTTTATTATTACGATAAATGGACCATTCAGGCTTATCAACACTTCCCTGTCCCACCTGCCTAAAGGCCTCTGCTTCAGGTCAGAAGTCCAGTCTTCCAAAGAAGACATCAAGAGATTATGGCCTCAGTAGAGGACTGTAACACATGCACTTGGCTCTCCAGGCTCCAGGGAATAGATGAATGCGCGCAGCCTCCACCCTGACACCATCACCTTGACCAGACACTGCCTGAGGCCAAGGCAGGATCCGAGAGTCTGCAGTCCAGAAGCAGACACTTTGGTAGACCAGACGAACTACCCAAGGTCAGCAGAACAGGTATTAGGACCTCGAACTGAATGAAAGTGATTTAAGTGGGGTTCATTTCTATTTCCTAAAGGGGATATGGGAAGACCCTTTTCTTCTTTGATCTACACCTCTAATCCTCAATTTAGGAGGCTATATTTGAACCAGGAATAAAATATTCCTTAAATGGTGCCTTTCCAACTAACCCTTCAGAATTCTGGGGGAGGAGGGAAACTATAAAAATTTAACATAGATATAAACTCATGAATTATCAAGGAAATTTTAAAATAATAGTTCTATTGGGGCACCTGGGTGGCTCAGTCCGTTGAACGTCTGACTCTTGATTTCAGCTCAGGTCATGACCTTGGGGTCATGGGCCCCGAGTCAGGCTGTGCGCTCAGCGATGAGTCTGCTTCTCTGCTTGAGGATGCTCTCTCTCCCTCTGCCCCTCCCTCCCCCACCTGCTCCCCACTCTCTCCCTCTCTCTAAAATAAATACATCTTTAAAAAAATAATAAAATAACAGTTCTGTTGAAAACAGCATGTTACTCGCCCCACCTACAAAACTGCTCAGAACAATTGCCGACAAATATTCACAGTGCCTTCCCTGGGGTCATCTTCTCTTATGGCCGTTAGGTTGGTAAATAGGGTCAGTAAGAATCTGTCCTCCTTCCCAACGGGGTATAATTGGGTAAATCAAATTTGTAACCATGACCATGCCAGAAATGTCACATTTAAAAGACAAATTTCATTTAATTAGGCATGACAAGCCTGAGAGTGAAACACACGGACCATCCTTCCCACGTGGGATGTGGCCTCTGTGGGAAGCTGCACAGGATCTGCTCCCTGGCTTGTGGATTCCCAGCCTTTAAGGTTACAGAAAACGTTACTCCTGCCAGTCTGAAACACTGACAAACGGGGATTCTGCCAAAAGGCACCCTTACCGTTACAGGCTATGTGGGCACCACCCGACAAGGCTTACCTGCATGGTTCAAGGTTTCTGGTCTTAGATAATATCCTAAGAAATTTTTCCACACACACAGATTAAAATGATGACCCGGGCGTTCCGCGAAGTCTCCTGATAGAAGTTAGCTCTGAAGCCTTAGCATCATATGTTCTGATCTTAATAGCCATACAACCAGCAACTCTTTGTTTATTAATCATCACCTCATTACACAGGCCTGTGTCCAGAAAGCTGGCCAAACTTAAAAAAAAAAAAAAAAATCAAAGCAATGACAAACATCAGAAAATTGCTGGAACAAAATGCTATGGTCCGATCCTTATGCCTCAGGAGCCACGGGACCGAGGGAACGGACAGAGGCCTTGTCCTGCTTGCACTCTGCCATTGCTCTCTTACGATCAAACCTGCGCATTCTGCCTCCGAGTCCAAGAACTAGACAAACAAGGCATTCTGCGCCCCATGATAAAGCCTACCGAGACAATGGACATATCCGAATAAATCACAACAGTAACAACAATTTTAAAAAACCCGAAAAGCAAAAACTAGGGTCTGTCTCGCATCAGTCCCCTAAAGAGAGAAAACCTGATCGCTTCCGGCACGTTACAAGCTCCACAGGAAAAACAACGGTATCCCTGACTTTCACAAAGCTGATATTGGCCAACACACAGCGGCGCTCACAGACATGATCGTCGGTGGGGGGGAAACTGCTGTGTTTCTCTCTGAAGAGATGAACTGCAATCTTGGTAACCTTTGGTTTGTTTCTTTAAATACCTATGGTATTTTTACTTGCAGAGTGGCGAGTCAGCCTTTCTGATGTCTGTACTCCCTTGCAAAAACCTGTCTTTCCTTAAAGCATTTATATTTCTGAATCTTTCACACACTCCACTAGATCGTATGCCTATGAGGACAGGGGTTTTTGTCTGTTTTGTTCACTGCTGTGTTCCCAGCACCTAGAATCATGCCTGTCTTAGAGCAGAGGCTCTGTAAATATTTGTTAAATGGTGAATCGTATGCCCTATAAAAGATAGTTCTACTTATTCCACAAATATTCCACAAATGCCCAGATGCTTACTACGTGCCATACGCTGGGGATATGGGTACGGAGGGGACCAAGCCCTTGCCTTCAAGAGCCCCCACTATATTTGGGGCAGTGGACAAAGAATGTGACACGTACAAGACAGCGGGCCATTGCTCTGATGGGGATGCACGGGGCCTGGTGGAGCCCCAGGAGGACTTCCCGGAGGAAGCTAAAAGGAGAGATGGCTAGGAGAGGGCCAGAGAAACAGGATAAAGAAGGGAGAGGGTGTTTCAGGTAAAGGATATGGCAGATGAGAAACAGTGGGAAGGGCGGCACAGTAGTGACAGCAGAGGCCTGTGAGGTCTACAAAGGTCACACCATCAAAGGCCTCAAATGCCAAGTAAAGGAGTTTGTTCTTGACCGTCAGGGCAGCAGGCACCTGCTCGTACCAGGTCCATGAGCCCGGCGCAAGTGCCGAGCTGAGACCAGCTGCAGGGGGGCAGCCCCAGGCAGGCCACTCACCTGGTGTGCTGCTGGAGGTGGGAGAGCTGTCGGAAGGACTTATCACAGTAGGAGCAGTGGTAGGGCTTGACGCCCAGGTGGATGCGCAGGTGCTGGGCCAGGTAGGAGGCGTTGGCAAAGGACTTGGAGCAGTGCGGGCACTTGTGGGGCTTGGCCTCGGTGTGTGACTTGGAGTGAATCTGCATCTCAGACTTGGTGAAAAAGGTCAGCGGGCACACCTTACACCTGTGGGGCATGAGGCACGTTCACACCTGGGAAGACCCCCACCCTCTGCCCGGAAGCGCAGGGGACCTCCCGCACTGCACAGACCCTGCGCCCAGCATAGAGCTTTCTTGTGAGGAGCCCCGGGGGCACAGGCCCACCAGGGAAAGCCGGGGGGGCAGGCTCCCAGCCTGACACCCTCCAATCCGGAGGCCAAGGCTCTTCCACCGGGGGCTCCATTCACAGAATCAGGGAAGCGCTTTACATTTCCCAGGGGAGAGGGGCCTGGCAATCCTGGGGACATGTGCCCAGGGCCACAGCCCACAACACTCGGAATAAGAAGTTCTCCTCCCAGCTACACGTCAGAAGCATCTGGGGAGCTTTCAAAAAGGGATGACTGGCCCTCTGCATGTCCCCCCGCCTAATAAAGTAAATCAGAATTTCTGGAGGTACGGTCCTGGGATTGGCATTTTCTAAGCGCTCCCTAGATGATCCAAACTTGGGGGCTGAGAATACTGCTTGAAGGGAGGAGGAAAGGACTCCCACGGCTCCAGGAGAGGGTGAGCTGGGTCCCCAGCAGCCCTGCATAAGCATGGGAGGACAGCCCTAGCCCACCTGCGAAGGGGCTGTGGGTGGGGCTTGTCAGGAGAACCCCGCTCCTCGGGACCTGGCACCCACCCTGAGCCCCTGGGGCCCCTCTTTCCAGCCCTAGCTGTCGGGCCCCTAGGGCAGCCCTTGGTGCGAGGCTCTGGCCCAAGCCCTTGTGGACCCCCTTTCCGCCAAGACCCCCACCTGTATGTCTTGCCCTCCTTGGCAGTCTCGCCTGAGGCCAGGATGGGGTAGGGGACTACGAGAACAGGCGGCCCCCCTGGGTTCTCCGCCTTGATCTTTTTGCGGCCGCGCTCGGACTTGGGGGGGCCAAGCAGGCCGTGGCCCTGGATTGTCTTGATGGAGTCCAGGAGGGGGGGGCTGGTGATCCCTGAGATGAGGGTGGGGGACGAGGCGATGAGGCGGCTCTGGCTGGTGGTGGTGGGTGTGGACGGGGTGCTGGTACCCGTGCCCGCACTCGACTCGGACGTGCTCATAGCCGGGGTCCGGGAGGAGAGCCCCAGACCTGCAGAAGACACAGGGCGGGGGAGGCAGCTTCAGAGACCTTTCCAAGCCTCCTCTTCCCTTCGTAAATTACCCAGCGGTGACTACATGAGAGTCCGTGTATGTGTAAGAGGCCTGACACACCGAAGAACTAAATTGGGTTGGTAACAGAGGCACTTTGGAAATACTTTAAACCACAGGAAAAAAACACAAAGATGTTCACTACTGTGTTATTTGCAATATCAAAAAATTAGAGGAACTGAAATATGCAACATTAGGGAAGGGGTCGATACGCGGCGATCAGTCTTCTCCACTAACATTAACTGCCCATTAAAAAATTATGTTTGTAAAACAAAACACACACACACACACACACACAAAACAAACAAACAAAACCAGCATATGTATGCAGAGGAAAAAGTAAGTAGGAGAAAATGTACCAAAAGTGATGTGGATAGCACAACTGGGAGTAATTTTTTTTAAGTATTTTGGCTTAACTGTACTTTGATTCTTTGACAATGTACTTTCTAAAAAACTTCTGTAATACAGGAGCGCCTGGCTGGCTCAGTCAGAGGTTTGACTCAGTCAAGTGGTTGACTCTTGATCTCGGGGTGGTGGGTTCAAGCCCCACTTGGGTGTTGAGATTACTTAAAAAAAAATAAAAGCTTTTAAAAAAGGGAAAAGGAAAAAAAATAAACTTTTGTAATAAAAGTCATTCTTTTAAAAATGAGGGGACTAGAAACACTTACAATATCAGGTGAAGCAGACAAAAAGATGTCCTCAGCAGGGGCTGTGTGAAGAGATGTAGCCCACCCTCACTATGAAGGACTGAGCAGCCATGAAAACAAGAAAGATGCTGTGCAGTGGTGGAGAACGCCCAAATGGCTGTCGTCAGGTGAAAAAGCAAATCGTAGACAGTATGAACCCATGTATTTAAAAAAAAAAAAAAAACACACATCTAAGCTTCCTGTGTAGGTAATTGACAATACAGATGTGTGTGTTAATGCACAGAAATAGATCTGAGAAGACACACCCAACTAAATTTGTGTATAAACTGTGGTTCGCTCTAGGGAGAAAGAATTTTCTAGTAAAAGGAGATTTTCATACTTTGTCTATCTGCTTCTATGTTATTTGAATTTTTTACCTGGTGAATTCATCCATTTTTTTGTATCTGTGATTAAAGGATAAAATCAAATAAATTATAGTGAAAACATGAAAATGCTAACAGTTGTAGGACTAGGGCTAATTTTTTCTCTTTTCAGCTTGTCTGTAATTTCTACATTTTCTATAAGGACTATGAATTACCCTTATAATTAAAAAAAGCATTAAATATGCTTATGACAGAATGGTGGGTAGGAAAAGCGAGTTGAAGTTATGGGCATAGCCCCACTACAAGCTCAGCAAAACACACAGGCATATTAAAAAATAAACAAAAAAGATGGAAAAGGAAGGAAATGAACCAAAAGGCTCTCCTAAGCTGCTGGGTTAGGAGCTGGGGATTATGAGTGGGTTTTTTTTCCCTGAGTTTCTCTTTTTTCCAAATTTCCCTTAATATGCTTATATTACTTTTTTAATATTACTTCTATAATGAAAAAAATAAATTTAATAAAATCATAATAAGGGGGGATGTGAAGAGTGGGGCTGGGGACTTGGGGAGGCTCACTGGGTCCCATAATTCCTGGGCGTCTCTGAGAGAAGGGGGGAATGAGAAGAGAGGCAGAGGCACCCAGCTGGAGGCAGGGGTGAGCCAGGGGAGGAACAAAGGCCCGGCTGCAGTGGCCTCCAGAGAGAGCCTGCCCCCCAGGTTCTGAGGGAGACACCAGGCAGCCCCGGCCACATAACACCACCTCAGGATGTGCGGGACACCCCAGTCTCAACCTATCCAAGACTGAGCTCACCTCTTTCCCTACCCCGCGTTTCCCCCTATGATTCCTTGGCACTTCCATGGCAGTGCCTGGGCTGTTCTCTCAGTTCCTCTCCCTCTTCACCCCTGCAGCCAGCCCAGCACCAAGCCCTGTCCATTCCCCTCAACAAGTCTCAGATCTGTCCCCTTCTCTCCGTCCTCACTGCCACTGTCTGATCCAGGCCACCACTCTCTCTTACAGATCTCCCTGCCTCCTTTTCTCTCCCAGCAAGCCAGTCCCCACCTCCCAGCCAGACTCAGCTTTGCAACCCAAATCTTAGCATTCCCCTCCCCTACGTAAAAATCTTCCATGGCGGGGCGCCTGGGTGGCTCAGTGGTTAAGCGTCTGCCTTCGGCTCAGGTCATGATCCCAGGGTCCTGCGATCGAGCCCCGCGTCCAGCTCCCTGCTCCACGGGAGGCCTGCTTCTCCCTCTCCCACTCTCCCTGCTTGTGTTCCCTCTCTCGCTGTGTCTGTCTGTCAAATAAATAAGGTCTTTAAAAAAAAAAAAAAATCTTCCATGGTTCCGCACTGCCCGAGGGTAAAGTCCAAACTGCACAGCCTGGCCCACAGGGCCCGTCACATGCAGTCTGCTTCCTCTCTAGAGACCAGCTAGAGCCAAGGGTCATGAACACCCGGGCTCTGGAACCACACTGCCTGTGCAACTCTGCCTCAGTTTCCTCATCTGTTAAGTGGAGACATCAGGGTGAGCATGAAACTGTTGTTTCCTAAGTCAAAACCGGTCAACTGTTCAACCTAATAACTAGCAGTGCCCACCGCACAGGGCTGCTGGGAGTAATAAACGAACACTGTTGGCCACACACAGGCGCTCACCTGGAACCAGCTGCCATATTACGAGTGTAATCACCATCATCACCATCATCATCTGCCCCTCCCACCCGGACGGACCGTCCTACCCGTGCCTTCCACACACAGACCCGCTTTGCACATGCTGTTCCCTCTCCCGCTCCACTGCGGTCGTTAACAGCCAACCTCTCCCGGCATCGGGGCCCCTTCGTTCACCCCCAACAAGTCTGGTCAGGGCTCTTCTCCCAGCAGGCAGCGCCCCCGCCCAGGGCCAGGCGACTTAGGGGGCTGGGTCCTCCCAGGACCGAGCCCCCTTCGCCCCGCCCCCGCCCCGCCAGCCCCGCCCCCTCCCGGCCAGCCGTACCTGTGACGGTGCTGGTGGCGGGTCGCGCGTGCAGCGCCACGTCGGGCTGCGGCACGGCCTGCGGGTGCAGCCCCGGCACCTGCTGCAGCTTGGGCAGCGACATGACGGCCTGGCTGCTCTCGGCCGGCGCCGGCGGCACCAGCAGCGGCTGCTGCGACGAGGCCGACGTGGGCGGCAGGTGGGGCGGCCGGATCTTCTCCGCCATCAGCTGCTCCTTGATCTTGTTAATCAGGACCAGGTTGTCCAGCTGCGGGCGGGAGAGGAGAGGCACGGAGGGGGCTGGGGCCGCGTCCGGCCCCTTCCCCGGGCCAACGGTCCCCCGCGAGCCGGGAGCCCCGAGCCCCGCAGGCCGGGCCGAAGCCCCGGGCCAAAGCAGAGCCGCTCCAAAAGGGGGAGGGCGGCCAGAGGGCGACGCTCGGTCTTACCTGGCTGGGCATGGTGGGAGGAGGGGGCCAGAAGTAGGGGTTGTTAAATCGAGGCTCGGCCATCCTGCGGGGAGAAAGCGACTGTCACAGGGACCCTCCCCAGCCGCCTGGGGCGAGCTCCCATCAGCCATGCCCACTCAAGTCTGGTCCAGTGTCTGGGACCCCCCGCCCCCGGGGGACCCTCACCCTGCCGCAGTGCAAGCCCCCTCCCAGGGCCCGGCAACCACGCCTCCAGGCTGAAAAGTCAGGAATTCAGTGTCTCCCTCCGTGGGCTCCAGAGGGCAAAGGTCAGAGACAGACCAGCTATGCTCCCAGTCCCCCCATCACCCTGATGCGGGCAGACCAATCCCCATCCCCCAGAAGGGCCCAAGGCTGCAGAGCCCACCCCATGGACCCACGGATTTCACATAGAAGCCCCCCACCCCTACTCCACCCCCACTCCCGCCAGACAGAGACACACTGGAGAGTCTTGGGGCAACTTTGTAAACGGCCACAGAACAGAGGCAACTGCCCAACCCTGATCCCTGCCCTTCTGACCGCTGCCCCCTTGAGGGCAGACATCTTCATCAGAACAAGGGGGCAGCCTGGGTCATCAGATACCGCCACTCTGAAGGGTAATTTGGCACGATGGTTTACAGAGACCCAAATGATTACTGCCCTTTGACCCAAGAAATAAGCATGGACACATGCAACATTTTACCTACAAGGATGTGTCAGCACACTGTGCTTAAGGAGGCACTTGGGGAGGCCTGCGGCTAGGGCAGTTTGGGGCTTTTCATTAGAATTATGTGACAATCTACTGGTGGCCCTCATCTCTGGCAAGTTCCATGGCAGGCCTGTGCAATTAGAAGGCCATTCAACAGGGCAGCGTGAAGGATGGACCTTCAGAGCTATTTTACTCTTCTAGAGGGTTCCAGTCTTCCTGCAACCTGAGAGAGTTAAGTCAAGAAGTGACTTACAGGGACCATCCTGAACAGTCTTGCTCTCCATCGAAATTCTCCTATTGATCTCTCTCACATAAATTACTAACTAAATACCTACTAGTATTGTTGCTTAAGTGCAACTGTTTTATTTGGACAGGTAAGGCCAAAGAGAAGTGTCTTCGACCTCTTCCTGGTCCGAGAAGCCCGAGGAGCCCCTAGTGGAACTGCAGGCAGAGGGTTTTAGGAGAAAACTCTCATACAATCTAATCTCAACACTCTTAATAAAGACTTTTGATATAGATTATCCTTGTAATCTTTACTTGAGAAATAGGCACAGGAGGTATTATTATGCCATTTTATAGGAGAAGAAACTGAGGCTTGGAGAGAGGGGTAAGGACCTGTCCAAGAGGACAGGGCTGGGTGCCAGAGTCAAACTAGAAATCGGATTTGCTCAAGCCATTTCCTCTGGGGAATTTGCTTTGCAAACCCCAGTACTTGGTTGAGCAAATAACCACATGCAAATGGCTGGATCCCTACACGAAACCACCTTTGCCCTTCATTCCCAGCCTGGGGGCCACTTGGGGGTCTGAGCCTGGCCAGGCTGAGGGTCAGAGTACCCTCCTCTGGGGTGGCTGGGACAGCCCCTGCCCTCTAAGGGCTCTCCTGCTCCCTCTACCCACAGACACCAGGCTGCCCTTCCCTCACAGCCCGACACTAAGAAACACTTCCTGCCTAGAGTTCTCCCTGACTGTTCCAGATCCCTTTCTCAGAAAGACCTCAACACAATAATGACAGTGAGGAGGCTGCCATTTACCAACTGCCTACCTTGTGCCAGGCACACCGACACTCAAAGCCAGGTTCTCTCATCATCCCCATTTTATAATTGAAACTGAAGGTCAGAGAGGTGGAGTGACTTGGTCAAGGTCACACAGCAAGTAAGCAGAGCTGAGATTCCCGCTCTAATCTGCCTGACTCCAAAGTCCAGCTGATCGGTCCCTTAGCTGTTCAGGGGAAAGACAAGGCATCCTGACTGCAGGCTCGTGAATATGCCCTGTCTTAGGATACAATGGGCACAGCCCAGGGGTCCGGCACCCACTCATCCAGCAGCCTCAGGACCTGTCTGTCCCTCCCAGCTGTTGTCCACCAGGGAAAGAGTGAAGGGAACCCAGGAACTGGATACACCTGCCTTACCCATCTCAGTATCCCCAGCAGCCAGGCCCAGAGGTGACCAACAACATGAGTTGCATGACAGAATGAATAAATGAAGGAATGATAATCAGAATTCAAGACAACCACACACAATTCGACAGTTTACAAAGCTCTTCTGTCCCCACTGGCATTGTCCTCAGGAAACAGGGAACAGTTTCACCCCCATTTTGCAGAGGGAAGCACTTTGCTCCAGGCCACAAGGATGGGGAGACCGAAGGGAGCACCGCACTGTAATGTTGAGCATCGGCTCTCAGAGACTCAGTTCTCCTCATCTGTGAAATGGGGTGAGAAACAGGCTGCTCTGCACATTCCTGCCCTGGCCCAGGACTCTGCCTACTGCACCAGCTCTTCCTCAGAGTTCTCAGGGAGCTACCCTCTCCTCCTCCTCTTCAGCTTAATGCCAAGTTCAGGCTTCCCAAAGGCCCACCTTGGTCAGGGAGGTTTGGGGAAGAAGGTGGCAGGCCTAGGGTCCCATGGCTGGGGTAGAGCATCCTCTCTGCCGCTCGTCAGGCCCCTGGGAGGGCAGGGATGGCCCCCTCGCCCTGGCTGGACAAACAGGCCCACAGAAGGGAAGGGTCTGCCCTGGGCCACTTAATCTGATCCCCACGGTCTCTGCCTAATTTCTCCACATCCTTCTCTGGCTGGTCGTAGTAATGTAATGATTCAGTCTGTGCCCCTGGCCTGTTGTACACCTACTGTGTGTCAAATGGCGGGAAGGCGGGCAGGGGATGACCATTTGCTGAGCTCCTACTGAGTGTCAGGCCCACTGCTGGGTACACTTCAGGACTATCTCAGGGGAGCCTCCCAGCAAGCCTGTGGGGTGGGAATGCCCCTGTGCAACCCTGGGCCCTGCACGACGTGGCGGGCCATTGCCAGAGGTGAGTGGGGAGGGTGGGGAGGGCTGGGCTAAGCTGCTCAGACCTTGTCTTAAGGGAGGGGTTTTAAGCAGGGGACTGCGCAGGTGTGTGTTTAGGACAGGTGGACACGGCCGAAGGCCACGGCTTGAGCAGAGGCATGGATGTCTGGAAGTATGAGGCAGGTTCGGGTCCCTGAGCCACCACCTTCAGGCTCCAAAAAGAGAGCCAGAGAGGGGAGGTAGTGAGGGACCAGCCAGGCAGGCGGGCGCTGAATGCCTGCTGAGGGGTTGGGCCAGAATGCTGGCAGGGAGAAGGCATCAGGAGGCTACAGAGCCAAGGGGACTGAGGTCAGCAGGAGCAGCAGTCTGCGGGCCGAGCCCAGGGCAGGGATGGGGGCAGGGGCGGAGAAGCCAGGTGGGCTACGGCTGCGTGGTCCTGTGGGGACAGGCAGAGACATGCTGCTGGTTGCGCAGGATGTGCCAGCCGGTCTTCAAGCCCCAGAGAGAAGCCGAGACCGCTATGAGCCGTGAGACACACAGCCCTGACCCTTACAGCGGGGCAAGCACACCGCCACTTCGTTTTTCTTGCTCTGCAAGGTGAGGAAAGTTGCAGAGATGGATGAACGAAACACCTAGCGCTGCTTCTGAAAACAGCGGGCCCATCCACCATCCGCCCCTCCAGTCATTCTGGATACACTGGGCCCAGAGCTGGGGAACCTGAGGCATACGGGGGAGCCCTGCCATCTGGGAGCTCCAAGCTAAGTGGAGGAAGGAGCCATGTGACCCACAAGCTTCTGCAAAAAGAAAAACAAAAACAAAAACAAAAACTTTCGCCTGAGACCTGCGACATGCCACCGAGGACCTTCCAGCCTGACCCTTCCTGGCTTCATGCTGCCCGGACCCTCTGTGGAGCTCTGTGCCGTGACCCCCGGCTCCTTATCTCAGTGTCTCTCAGAGCTCCCACCCACAGACCATGCTCCTCGGTCCCACCCGCCTCATCCCTGGGTGGCCCATCCACTCTGGGACTTTAAATACTGGCCAAGCCCCAGGTCTCCACCCCCAGACCAGGCCTGTCCCGGGAGCCCCAGGCCCACCTTCCAGCTACCTCCCTTTTGCTGTCTCGTGGGCTGCTCAGACTCAGCAAGCCTAAGCTGGACTGGGTCTTCCCCTAAGATGTGCGCCCCCTGGAGCCACTCCTGACTGTGAGCAGGCATCCCCATCTGCCCAGACGCTTCTGCCACAGACACACATGGATCCCCAACACGTCCCCGCCCTTCCCTCCCAGCTCTGATCCACCACCAGCCACATCCCCAGGACTGCGTTTCCAAATTCTCCCTCGAGTCCACCCACTCTTCTCCACGAGTCCTAGCTACGATCACCTCACCTGGACCGTGGAACAGCCTGCTTTGTTTAAAGCCCAACGCACCTGGGTTCAAATCTTGGCTCCAACTCACCAGCTGTGTGATCTGGGGCAAATCACTTGCTCCTTCCCCCCGCCCCGTCCCCCCAGTAAGGGATGAGCAACCCAGAGCCAGGGACCTGACCCAGGATGGAAAAAAGGATCAGGGAGGACTTCCCAGGGGAGGTGATAACCTGCTTTGGGTCTTAAAGGATGAGTGGGAGTGAGCCAGGCAACAAAGGAGTGGGGAGCATTCCTGGCAGAAGCAGCAGCCTGAGCAAAGGCCCAGAGGTGAGAAGCAACACACCGTGTGCGAGGAGCTAAGCGTTCTGGTGTGGACTGGGAGAGGCGATACGAGGCTGGAGCCAGCAGCCAGGGCCTGACCTAGAAAGCTGATGAAATCCTAGGCCTGGGGTCTGGACTCGAAGCAACAGGCGGTGGGGCAGAAATCTGTGGTTTAGAAAGACCCCTCCGACTGCTGAGTGTGGACGGGACTGGAAAGACCAGGAGAGGAGGTGGGAGGACACCCATTAGGAAGCCCCTGGAGAATGGGACGGAGGGGAGAGGCAGGGAGGTGCTGAGCTGGGACACGGAGGAGAGTGACCAAGGAGGCCTGGCTATCCTGTTGGAGCTGGAGGCCAAGGACACATGCAGCTCACCGCCCCCCGCCCCACCGTGTGGCCCAGGAGGACCTCAGGATCCCCACGCAGACAAGCACGGTCACAGGAACATGCAGACAGCACCACACTCGGACACACATGACAGACACAGACCTGTGGTCCCAAACATGGACAGATGGGGACACAGAACAGGAACCCACAGCCACCAGGACATGGAGTCACAGGTGGGCGCTGTCACAGGAGGGTGAGTGCACATGGCCTCCGGGACAGACCCAGAGGGAAGCAGTGAGGGCACGCAAGGAAGTTGGGATGAACACAATGCCTTAATCCCCCCCAAAGAACAAACCCCTCATTGACAGATTTCAACCTGGAATCACAGGCTCCTTACCTAGAGTGTCCTTTCCCACTTGGTGAACTTCTACTCATCCTTCAAGACCCAGCTCAAGTGTTCCCTCTTCTACGGAGCTTTCCCTGAACCCCCAGTCAGTCACTTCCTCTGTGTTCCCAACAGCACCTTGTATATGGGAATAACAATAACAATAACAGTAACAATAAAATGGCAGCTACCATTGATTTCAAAACCTACTACGAGCCAGGCACTGTGCTGAGTATGTCATATGCACCATGTCACTGAGTCTTCCCGATGCCCCTGTGAGATGTGCAATTAACAGAACAGGAAACTACAGCTCAGAGAGGTTGACCAACTTACCCAAAGTCACACAGCTAGCAAGGAATGGGGTTAGGATGCCACCCAGATCTGGTCCAGCACTACAGGGCCGATCACACCCTGGTGTGGCTATCTGTTTCCCTGGGTGACTTCCCCACCAGACTGTGAGCTCCTCACAGTTAGAACTAGTGCTCGTTCACCCGTTCACCTTTGCCATTCCAGCACCTAGCCCAACATGGTCTCAGAAACTCTCCGTAGAATGAAAAAATACAATAATATCCACTACCTTTTCTTGAGCACTTACAATGGGCCGGGAACTGTGTCGGGATTTTTACAGCCATTATTTTACTGTTGCATTAGACCCATGAAACACATGAGGAAACTGAGGTCCAGAGGTTAAGTGACGTGCCTGAGGTCCCAGAGCCAAGTCTAGATTTGAATCCAGATCTGCCCATGACCCTTTCCCAGGACGATGGCCCCTGAGGCCAGGCTTGTAAGCTCCACAAAGGGCCACCGAGGAAGGGGCACACCACGTGGCAGGCCCTAGCACCTGGGGAGGTCCAGGTATAGACAAGGACAAGCCGACGTGAAGACAGGCAGCCCAGGGCGGCACGTGACTAGCCTTGCCCACTGCAGGACAGCAGGGTGCGGTTCGGCGACTCTGTCCCACCCCCATCCCCAGACTGTCCCACAGGCATTAAAAACTGAGATTTGCCCAGACCCCGTGGCCGCAGAGGAATGAGCTCCCAACGAAGCAAATGGGAGAGAGCAGGACCCAAAACTGTCCGGACACTATGATTACAAGGAGGCAAAAATAAAAACCTGCGTCAGAAAAAGCAAGCTGCAGGGAACCACACCCAGAGGGAGGGCTGGGAGAGGTGGCTGGAACTGATCTGGTTTTCGTCTTTGTTTCTCTGATTTCGATTCTCTGTAATGCCGTTCAGTTGCCTTTATAATGAAAACAATAAATTTATTCTCAAAGAAAAGACAGAAAATTGTTGGGAGCCCAAGGGCGGAGGGGAAGCAGATGGAGGGTCTCGGAGGCACAGGGGGAGGCCGGGGTCAGCTGATGGTGGGCACTCATCTGACTGCTGGCTGCCAGGCCCCGCATGGCCCCCTGTCCTCCAGGGGTGTGCAACCCGGCTAGGCGACAGGGCATGTCAGCAAGGGCTACCTGGCAGACGGGACATTCACTGTGCACTTTGGAGCTGTTTGAGGGTGGGGAACCCTCTCCAGCACCTTCTCTGCCCTGGTCCAAGCCCCCGTTGGCTACTGTAAGAGTCCCTTCACTGGTTTCCCCACCTCTACCTACAGCCCCCATTCCATTCTCCTACTGCAGTTGCTGTGAGATTTCTAAAATACAAAAGCAGATCACAACATTCACCTCCTTAGAACCTACCATGGCTCCCTACTTCCCTCCAGACAAGGTCTGGACTCCTTGGGCCTTACATATCCGGCCCCAGCTTATCTCTTTGGCCTCAGCAATTGTTCCTGCCTTACACTCTGCCCAGCCAGCCATAGAGCTCCCCCAGGGTTTCACTTCCTTTTTATTTCCTAACCTTCAGTCAGGCTGCTTCCTCTCCCTGGAACCCTCTGTCCTCCCCGCTTCACTGGCTACCTCCAAATGATCTTCAAGCTCCAGCTTATGGACCACTTCCTCCTGAAAGCCCTCCAGGACTGCTCCACCCCCACCCTCTTAGGCTGTGTTGGGTGCCTCTCCTCTGTTCCCTTTGTGCCCTGCACGTCCATCATCAGAGCACGTATCCCCCTATTTTCCGTCTGTTTTCTTGCCCATCTCTGCTGTCAGGCATGCTCTCTGTCAGGGCAGAGTCATGGCTGAGTAATTTGTCTTTTAAGCCCTGCACAGTACCCGATAAATGTTGGAATGAATGACTATATGAATGAATGAATGAATGCTCTAGATGGAAGGAACTGAAAGGGTCATGGCCTGGATAGAGGAAAGTCCTCTCCCTCACCCTGGCACCATACTGTCCCCCGGTGTCGCTCTGTTCCCTATTTCCTGTATCTAAACCCTATCTTCCTAAGTGAGAGGAGAAGGGGCTGTGTGTGCTCCGTAAAGACGAGCAGACCAAAAAGGATGTTAGCAGCTAACCAACACAGAAAATGGCTCTGCTTCCCTGGCAGTGAAAATTAAACAAGCTTCACTTCTTAAAACAGCAAAAAGAAAGAAGAAAATGATAATACCCAGTGCTGGTGAGGGTAAGATGAAACTGGCACTGCTAGGCATTATTGGCAGGAGTGTAAACTGGAACATTTTTTTTTCTTCAAGATTTTATTTTTAAGTAATCTCTCCACCCAATGTAGGGCTCGAACCCACAGCCCCGAGATCAAGAGTCACACCCTCCACCGACTGAGTCAGCCAGGCACTGCACAATCATTTCTGAAAACAGTCTGGCAATAATGTGTCAAGAGCCCCCCAAAAATGTTCAGACTTCCTGGCCTAGTGATCCCATTCTTTGTCATCTGTCCCTAGAAAATAACCCAAATATCGACAAAGTTTTATGTACAAAGCTGTTTGCTTCAGTGGTTTGTTTTTTTTTTTACAATAACGAAAAACGGAAAGAGCCAAAATTCTAAATAGGAGGATGGCTCTGTAAGTCATGTTCACAGTGACATAGTCTGCAATCATTAATAGCCAATGTTTACTGGCATTGCCACGACTCATTCAACACTCATATCAACCTTACCAGGAACTGAAGCACGGACAGATTAAGTAACTTGCCCAAAGCCAAGAGTGTACAATGTGAACCCAGAAAGTCAGGCTCCGAAGCCCACGCTTTCCACCTGACACTGGATCTGTTAGAAGGGAGGCTTGGAACCACCCTGAAGTCATGTAGAAACTACTCATGATGCAACAGTTGTCAGGGGGATGAGGTGGGGAAGATTTCTTAAATTGTATGTGTAGATGGGGCAATGACACCTATATAAAAACCAGTTACAGAGAGGAGGGAAGGAAAAACCAGAAGGCTAACAGTGATGGTGCCTCGGGCTTGGGGTGAGGGCAGAAATAGTAGGCTTGAGTTTCTCTCTTTTCCCTATTCTCTGACCTTTCTGCAGGGTAGTTACGTGACTTTCTTCAGGCATATTTTTCCTAAAACTAAAGGTTCAGCAAGCTTAGGCCAAGTAAGACAGCCCAACCCCTGCCCACAGCTCCACTAGGATTCTGGCCTCAGGTGCTGCAGGTTCACTGGGAGGAAAGAAGGGCTCAGAGAGGCAGGGGACTTGCTCAGTCCCACAATGAGCCCTCCAGCTCCACCCCAGGCCCAAGCCAGGAGCAGAGTCAAGAAGGGGCTCCCCGTCCTATGTGGGCGCTTCAGAGGGGAGGACCAGGCCAAAGCCTGCCCAGGTCACTCACGCCTGCTTGAAATCTCTCTTGGGTTCCCATCACTTTTCAGGTACGGTTCCAAATCCCCAGCACAGCACCCAGAGGCCTTTGCCAATGAGGCTCTGTGGGCCACATGCATCCCAGCAAGTACATCCCCACAGCCTCCCTCCCTCCAGCCTCCCTACACGCCATGCAGGACCCCTAAAACAAGTTGTGCTTTCATGCCACTGTGCCTTTGCACAGACTGTGCCTTTGCACAGGCTGTGCCCTTCCATCTAGGGCCATCACCCCGCTGGAGCCCTGCCAGGTTCCCATCAACCACCAGTCAGCTCAGGTGTCACAGCCCTGGGGAAGCCTCCTTGCTCACCAGCTCTTCCACAGCTGTATTTGTGGCCTCTCCCCTGAACTCCCCCAGCTTCCTGGACCTCCTCCACCGCAGCACTGACCCCACTCTGCTAGAATTGCCTCCTTCCTTGTCCACCCAGTCCCCCACATAGCTGTGAGCCCCCCAAGATCAGGGCTTGGGTCTGGTTCTTATATAACCAGACACCCCGACTTAGCCCCACAGCTCACCCAGCTCTTCCTTCAGGTCTCAGCTAAAGGGCAGGTTCTAACTCTCTCCCCAGCACGAAGTGGACTGCTCTGTCATCTACCCCCACGGCCCCCTGCTTTCTCTGCCACCTCTCTATCACGCCTCCAGATACTCCCTCCAGTCATGACCCACAAGCGCAGGGCCACCAATGCGGCCCCAGAGCCAAGTGCTGACCACATAGTAAGTGCTCAGATGCCTAGTTTGCGCCAGGTGCTCAACAAATATTCACAGAGAGAAGGGCTGTCCCTGAGAGACAGGAGGGGTTTGTCCACGTGGGCTTTACAGACTGAGAAGTTTGCCGGGAGAGCCAGAGGGTAGAGGGAGAGCATCCCCAGCAGAGGGGAGGCCTGTGCAAAGACACAGCAAACTGCTAGCTTCCTAGGGTAGCAGAGGGCTCTCAAACATGCTCCCTGCCCCAGGGTGACAACAAGGTGGTGTTGGGGCTCAGCTGAGCTATGGGGTAGGGGTGTTCCTGGGAAGATGAGCTCATCCCACTGAGGGGTGCACAAAGATTTCATGAAGGTGGGACTTACTAATGGGGGAAAGCGGAGAGGTCAAGAGATGCCAGGGAAGGGCAGGCCAGGCAGTAAAAAGTTCATGTGCAAAAGCCCAGCGGCAGAAAAGCACAAAGCATCACGTTTGGTCTGGTGTGGGTATAGTGCGGGAATTTGCAGAGGATGGAGGGAAAGGCGGTGGGGCAGTTCACAAAGGGCCAGAGTTCCAGGTTAAGGTGCTTGGATAAAAGGCCATGGGGGGCCATGGAAGGTCTCTGAACAGGGGAAGGCCAGTCGAGGTTTTCAGTGGACAGGTCAAATGTGGCCAGAAGGATGGCCTGGAAGTGACAGGCAGGAGATGGTCCAGGGGGGAGAAGCTGAGGTTTCCCATCTTCCCAGCTTGAGACCCCCACATGCTCCAAGTCTGCCTCTCATTCCCTCTGCCCTCCATGTGTCCCTACTCCATGCGTCCCAGAGTGCTGAGCCCCAGCTGCTGCGCCCCACCCCATCCCCAAGACCAGGCCAGCCTCTGGAGCTTGCTCCTGGGAACTTCCTGCGAGGACCGAGGCTCCCGATGGTCCTGGATCCAATTAGGCTGGGTTTCCGCAGCCCCGCAGGGTTGGAAGGGCAGTTCTCATTGTGAGGGAGGGACTGATCGGAGAGAGCAGGGCTGCTATCTGTGCCCTGGTCAGTGGGAGCTGGGATGCTGCCCTTCCCCCTCTCTGTCCCTCCCTTTCCCCAGCACCAGCCGCCCAGAAACACCACCCTCCCCGGGAGCCGCAGGGCCCTCATTTAGAGAATGGGCCAGATTACCCTTCTCAGGCTGAGAGAATGTTCTGCAGGCTTTGAACACATGCCCTTCTCTACTTTCCTCTCCCCTGGAGACCCCCAGCTCCCATCCTCACAGGGAAGTCCTTCTACCAGCGCGAAAGGACAAGAAGAGGAACGGAGTACTTGGTCCATGCCAGGCACTGTCAGATACCTGACAAGCATTTCTCCTGGGCTCCTAATGACCCTGTGAGGTAGATGCTGTGAGCATTTCAAAATACATTCGGAAAGAGGCTAAGAACATAAACAAACAGCTAATGACTTATGAAACACACACCCAGGCACCCAAGAAGCCCTTACCCCATGCCTCTTCTCCCAGCCCCTAATGTCCCGCCCTCCTGGCTTCTAGCCTAACCTCTTCCTTGTTTGGAGTCAGGAATGAGGTTCAAGCCCAGTCACAGCAGCTGGTGAGGGCAGAGGGAACTCGAACCCACCGCCACCAGCTTGCTGTGTGACCTTCAGCAAGTCCATTTCCTCTCTGGGCTATAGCTCCTTCCTCTATACTTTTTTTTTTTTTTTAAAGACAGGCTCCACGCCCAGCGTGGAGGCCAAGGTGGGGCTTGAACTCAGGACCGTGAGATCAAGACCTGAGCTGAGACCAAGAGCCGGATGTTTAACCGACTGAGCCACCCGGGTGCCCTGCTCCTTCCCCTATAAAACAGTTGCAACTAGGGGCGCCTGGGTGGCTCAGTGGGTTAAGCGTCTGCCTTCAGCTCAGGTCATGATCCTGGCGTCCTGGGATCGAGCCCCATGAGGGGCTCCCCTGAGCAGGGAGTCTGCTTCTCCCTCTCCCTCTGCCACTCCCCTTGCTTGTGCTCACGCTCTTTCTGTCAAATAAATAAATAAAATCTTAAAAAAAAAAAAAAAAACAGAAACAAAGAATAGTTGCAGCTAAATCACAGCCTGGGCTCCTGGGCCCTCTGAGGGACAAAGTGGCAAATCAGGGGTTAAAAAGTACAGTTTTTGTACCAGATACCAGGGTCAAAGCCCCAGCTCAGGCCCTTGGGATTGTTACCCAACTGAGGACAACAATGGTGTCCCCACAGCACTGTCGTTTGGATTAAATGCGTCAAGTCTTGAGAACAGTGCCCAGTGCAGTAAACTCTGTAAGCCTTAGCTGCTGTTGTTCTGTTAGTAGGTTCTCTCAGGCATAAGGCAGCCCTTCCCAACATTCCAAAGACCCACATGGCAATCTGACCAACCAGGGAGGTTAACTGGGCTGGGGGTGGGGGGATGCAGGAGCTCCAGAAGGCTTTCAGGACCCACAGGGGCTGCTCCACTGTGGGCTGGAGAGCAAAGTCTGGGATTAACTCCAAAAGGGAGAGCCGACTACCGAACCCCGGCTCTGGCCTAGCCCCCAGGAGCTTTCTAGATGGGTCCTAGAGGCCTGGGGCTGGGAACCCCAGCAGGTGGTCACAGTCTGTTCTCGTGCTATGTGTACCTCAGGACCCCCGGGGGCAGGCAGCCTGTGGGGTGGGTCAGAAGAGCTGAGGCCCGGGGTGGAGGCCGGCAGACAGAGCGGGCCCTGAGCAGCGCAAGTCAGCAAAGGGAAGGTTGGGCTGGTCAGAGAGAGGAGCGGGGAGGGCCTGGGGTGGACATGTGGGAGGGGTGAAAACAGGCCACAGAGGACCCACCACTGGCCCTGCCCGACCAGGCCCACCTTCCCCTCCCCACACCCCCCGGGTCTTGGGGCTATCACCTTCTCCATGTTCCTTGATTTCCCGCCTCACGGCCTTTGCCCAGGCCGTACCCTCTGCCCAGAATGCCCTTCCCCTGGAAAACGTCACAGTTCAGATGATCAGTTCCTCCCAGAAGCACCTCTGCCCTATGTACACCACGATCGTCACTCGTTAGAGTAAGCTTAACACCAAGAAGCTATATGGAAGCCCTCGTCATAGAGAAATACCTCTTCCCTAGCCCTGACCAAAATCTGTATAATCAGTCATCAGTCGTGTGCTCTTCTGTAGAATGTCTGTCTTCCCAAAGAGGGTAGGGGCTACATCAACTTTCCTCACCTCTATCTGCAACCTGGAGCACGCGGCCTGGTATATAGTAAATGCTCCAGAAATACCATTGAATGCAGGCGAGCTCCATCACTGCAAGCCGGCCCGGGCAGGGTGTGGACACACACGCGAGTGCAAGGGCGGACGTGAGGGATCACACATGAGGCCCAGGATGGGAGGCTATTTGCTCATGGGAGGAAATGAATGTGTGCGTGCAAGATGAACCTTCGTATAAGGCACGCACGTGCACAAGTATGCCTGTGTACAGATTATAAAGCTGGTGTGTACCGTGAGTGTGCGCGGATGCGAGCACGCTAAGGTACGTGTGGCCTTGGACAAGCCCTAATCCTCTCCCTTCCTGCTTTATTCCCCCAGTGGACAACTCGAGGTTTGCCTACATAATTCGTGAGCTCTACCTCTCTCCAACGAGTGCACGACTTTAGATCTCAAATGGTTCTCCAGGAATTGGGTACATAAACACCATCAGAGACAGACTTTCTTGGGGCTCCATGAAGAGAGAACGGTCCCCTTTCTCCGAGTGGTCCAATACCCTGAGTGAGCGCCCAGCACAGTGCTCCAGGGATAGGAGGAGCGCAGGATTCATGCTCTGGACACACGCATTCGCTGACTGACTCCTACATTCAGCACCACGCACCATGGCCCAGTGGGGAGAAAAAGGCTACCAAAGCCATGAAACCACAAGGTCAAAAGCACCGGGAATCCATAACACTAACATCGCTCCCTAAATGTTATTCACAGGGGAAGTAGCAGCACTTTACACTTTGTAAAGAAACTCTTTCTGGCAATGACAACTGTCTGACAAGAAGACAGTTGGAGGCCCAGTGAGGAGGGAACTCCCCACCACTCTGGCTGAGATCAGAGGCCCTTTTGTTAAGGGTGTGGGAAGGGGATTCCTGCTCAGCGCAGGGGTCGGTTGAGGTTGGGCTTCCCCTCCACAGCTGTGGGATTCTAAGGAGGAGTCCCAGAGTGCTGGGTTCAAATCCTGCAATGCCCCTGACAACTCCGTGGACTCAGGCAAGTTACCTAATCTCTCTGTGCCTCCATTTCCTCATCTGTAAAATGGGGGTGGGGGTGATAACAATGAGAATGCAATACGTTAACGTTTATAAAGTCTTTTGGAACATGGCCTGACACAAAGTACTCTGTGCTGCTAAATAAGTAAGGCAGAGCAGGTCCCTTTTGTAAGGTTATAAATCCCAGATCAGATCACACAAAGACTCCAACTGTCAAAGGTCCTGAGGTGGAAAGCTCCTCAGATGCTAAGGTTCTGAGATTGGAAGAGACTGCGATTCTTAGATGCCATGATTTAATCATCTTGTTATTTCCTAACGACAGCCCAGAGCCTCCCGGGGGAGGAGAGGACAGAGCTCAGGGGCTCTTCATCTCCCAGGTGCTGCCCGTAGCCAGGGTCAGCGCCACCCCTGGGCTCCCCGGCATTTCCTCGCCTCCACTAAAGCCCCCGCCGTGCCGTGCTGGAACCACCTGCCCACTTGCCCACATGGGGTGGAGGCAGGTTCAGCAGTGTAGATGGGGAGGAAGTGCAAATAAACAAATCAATGAGAAAGCTTCAGGTACTGATAAGAGCAGTAAGAGAAAGTGGACAGGGCACTGACGTGACAGTGTCGGGACAGTGGGAAGCTATCCCAAGGCGAGTGGTCAGGGAAGGCCCTCGGTGGAGGCGACCTCTGAGTGGCAACTGGTGAAACAAGAAGGTGCTGGCCATGCACACATCTGGGGAAGAGTGTTCCAGGTGGGAGATATGCAAAGGCCCTGCCAACAATCTGGACATTCAAGGTGCAGAGAAAGCAGCTGCTGTGGATGGAGGTGGTGAGCCTGGGGGCCGGGCAGGGGAGCGGAGGGGCGAGCAGGCCCAGCCAGAATGTGAAGGGCATCCGTAGGCTCCGCAAAGGACTTTGGATTTTTGTTCCTCAAAATGCCCTGGAAACATCTGAAGAATTTCAGCAGGGAAATGACAAGCCAGGGCAGGGCTTTCAGGGTCCCCAGATCACTTGGTTCATCCTGAAAACAACATGATGGTTTTCAAAACTCAAGGTGGGGCCCAGGGTGGTGATCAGCAATCCCTCTCATTCAGTTGGTGTATTCTGAGCTCCTACCACATGCCTGGCCAGGGCTCAGAGACATCCCACATACTCTTGTTATCACCCACCACATTCATGAGAGATTCGCCAGTATACCCATTTTAAAGATCAAGAAACTGAGGTTCAAAAAGGGGAAAAGTGTGCCCAAAGTGACACAAGCCATGTACCACCCAGTGCAAACTGTGAAGTCCGATCCACAAATGGGACTTGGTCCCAGGACCCGTATCCACCATCATGACGGTCTGTGGAACTAACTCTTCTGGTATTTTCAAACCAAGAGACCTCCCCCGTGACACACGTAGGCGCCCACAAATACTGCCCTGGCTGTGCTCCTCCCACCTGTAGTCTTCTCCCTGCTGGCTTCAGAGCCCGGAGGACTGTCCTGGTACCTCACATGGCTGTCCAGCCTGTGCTGGGTGAGCTGGAGACCAGGTGGCTGGAAGGACAGAAGGATGGACTACTGAAATGGCTAGACACTAAACTAACAAATGGACAATGAAAAGAATAAAGGAATGATCTAGAAAACCAATGAATGAATAAACTAACTGATGGCTAGTGGAAGGAAGGAAGGACTGACGGAGGCGGGGGGAGGGAGGGGAGGGAGGGGAGGGAGGGAGGGAGGAAGGGAGGAAGGAAGGGAGGGACGGGAGGGACGGAGGGAGGGAGGAAGGGAGGAAGGGAGGAAGGGAGGAAGGGAGGAAGGGAGG